ATCTAATCACAAATGTATCAATTATAAGGTTCTGGAATTCTTTGAATCATGGATGAAGGAAAAATTTCGCATTCCTGCGTTTTATAACTGCTACGGCACTTTAATATCAGAATTCGAATTACTATGGCTATTTTATCTGAAACTTCCCAGTTCCAGATTTTAATCTTTAGAATGATCTTTTCCCAAAGTCTTCTAAATCTTTAAAAATTGTATCAAAGACCTCCTTGAGTTATCCCTAACCTCAAGGGTTCAATTAACAAGGGACATAACCTGATTTCCCAATCATAGCTATGCTAAAATTATTCAAGACCCATTCCCATGGTGTTCTTGAACTTAAAATCAAAATCTTGCTAATTAAATGAAACTAAAGCAAACCATCACAGTATTCAGAAAAATAAAAGATCACCCAATCATCGTGAATCCCAGAAGGGAAAAGATCAGAAACCCATATTCAAAAATATTACAAATCTAAAAGTAAAGAAACATGCATCACAAACATTCATGAAAGAAAACTCAAGGTAAAGTTACAAACCGGTTCTTAAAGAGTCAAAGTTACTAAACTAGAGCTAGGAAGAAAAAGATCAGAAATGTGAAAACAGTAGCTCGTATGCAGATCTGTGGTTTCTTTCCTTGAAGTTGCGTTGTCAATGCACTTCGAGATCAAGAATTGAAGAACAAGCACCAGCTTTCAAGACAATTTCTTAACACTCAGATTCGAAGAGAGAAAATACAAAATTCTAAATGTAAAACTGAAACTAACAAGTACGGTCTCTGACCCTAAAATGACTCAGACTCCTATTTAACTAAAAATTATAAAGCTGCCTCCAAATGCACTGCTGTCCATCCATCTCTATGTTCATCCAATGGTTCAGATTTGATCTTGATTTCAAAGAATTGATCTTGCTTCCAAACTGCAGTAAAAATAATAAAAGAGAGTAGTAAATCATCAGTTTATCTCTTTCTCTCTTTTTTCTACCTTTGGGCTGATTGGCACTCATTTGGCCCATTACCATGCACTAATATCCAGCCTTCAACTCAAATATTGTAAAAATAAAGCCATTAAAATAATCATAATTTATAGCTAACATACCTTCGTGATTTAGGGCTATTTCATTTTTGCTTTATTTTATTTTAATGGTTCTAAATGAATAAATATATAGGATTCTTTGGCTCTCCGCAAGTCCATTTTATTTTGGGTTGATTTTTTTTCTTCTAAAACTAACATGAAAATATAAATATAAAAAAAACAAGTACTGAAATATTATTTTTTCAATTATAGGAAAAATTGAAGATTTTCCCAAATTAAATATTATATTCGAAGTAAAAAATTTAATTTATATAGAAAGTAATATGCAGATTAAAATCTTGTACTAAATTAATAATTTTTAGTTTATTACAAACATGTATAGAAACGTAAACATACTTGTCATATGGCATCTATAAACTATAATAGAGCTTGGCTCAAGTCATCCTGTGATTGCTAGATTTCACAACCCAATCCTTAAAGGTTTTAAAAACAACAAAATATATATATATATATTCACGTGCTTCCTTTCCTAGAGCTGCTTCTATTAAGTAGCCCCACTACAAAAGGCGAATCCCTTATTTACTAATATCATACATGCAACTTAACAATTACAAACTCGTTATTCAGCAGCAAATAATTGATGGCTTATACAAAAATTAGAGCAAATAATGGGATCAACATTTATAAACCACACTAAACCTTTGATATAGGGCATTAGAAAAACAGAGTGTTGTGAAAAGAGTGAATTATTTCACGGGCAGCTTTTAGGTAAATATTAAATAAATAAATCTAATTCTAAGTATTATAACCCCTCACATCTAGAAGTCGAATAATTGTGGCACCGAATAAGTCCCTATATAAAGAGAACTAGCATACATCTATTTCAAGCAGAATCAAAAGTTAAACACACCTATCTTTTCTTGAAAAATGAGAAGTGTCCCAGCCTCAATTTTTCAGCTTCACACTGGTTGAGAAGCCAAACAAAGCTTCGTCCCAATCGTGGGTCTTAGGAATCTGAAATAACAATAGTAATGGTTTAACTAATACACACCTCAGTACTCAATTCAAAAAAAGACCTCGAATAATCATTATTTTATCAACCTATATTTTAACGAATGCAAACATACATTATGTCAGTTTGAAAAAAGAAAATATGCACAGGTTTCTATACAACTAGAAGGAAACAGAAAAAACAAAGGCAAAGACAAGAATATGGGAAAAGGAAGACAAAAGGGACATAAATCAACCTAAGAATGGGCACATAACATCAAGATATAGAAGCAAGCATAATTAAGCTTAAAGATAGCATATACTGTCACGAAGAAGGTATCTGAACTTACCATATATCGATAACAAAAGATTAATTATATGGTTTAATTGATATGTTAACATTTTGCCAAGTTTTCAAGTGAATATCTAGAAATTCAAGCATTAATAATGTCCAATTTTCTTAACCTTTTGTCAAACACTTAACATGCATTTTTAGATAAGAACATAATTTCACCGGTTGAAGCTGAATCAATTTGAATTAAGAACAAAAATTTCACCGGTTAAAGATAAATCAGTGATAATCCAAAATTACGAACCAAAAGAAAACCTTACCTTCGACTCATGCGACTCCAACGATGAGATTCTCAGCAAAACTAGAAGTAAAAGCTTGAGATCTGGAGAGGGAAACACTAATTAATCGAAGCAATTGCATGGCCAGGGATGACGTAGCGAAGCAACTAAGACGAATGGAAGACGAAGCACTAATTAACCAAAGTTGTATTATTAAATTGATCACTAAGGTTAACATAAAATCACTGCTCAATTTATAGATCTAAGCCTTATATGATTAAATTCAAAAAAATAGAGGTATGATAGGGGAAAGAGAGAGCAAAATTTCTAAATTTTCAACTAACCTCAACTCAGATTAGAAGAATAGAGTGATAGTGACGAAATGGATTTAAAAAGATTTTCAAATAGATAGAGCGATAAGTGACCGAAATGTATTTGGGGATATAGACATTTAGGAAAATCGGTGGCACTGATGGCCAACAGTTACTTTAAATGGGTCTACATCCTAACTAATTGCAACGTGCTTTACGCATTGCTAAATTATCGTGGTGAAATGCCCTTTTTGTTGTAGTGAACAGGAGATAAAGTTATTCCCTACATCTTCAAAATAACATCATTCATTTTGGGGTTTGAAAAAAATGCAAAGTATTTTCAAAATTTTATCTTTCTTTTGTATTAGGAATTTCACTAAAATATCTTATATTTTTTTTTCCTAAACCTCAAAACAGTATCGTTTTGAGATTGTAAGAGATCATTTTATCTCTTGTTGCCGTAGAATCATTAATCTTTTGGTTCTTTTGAATATATTCATATTATGACAAAGAATGTGAATAAATAAGTTCATATTATAACTTCATCTCCTGTAGAAATGTCATATTTTATATATTTTTAATTTAATAATGAAGATTGAATATGTATTTGTTCTTTTTTTAAAATATTTTAAAAAATAATGTAACAATATAGTGATTGTAACAAAATCAACTTTACTCTTATAAAAAGTGAGATTCGATTCATTAGTGATGTTAAAAAAGAAAAATATTCATGTTAATAACATAATTTGTGAGCATATTAATGATGGCTTTTGTAGCGGGATCGTCAACCCATAGCCCAGCAGCTTAAGCGCCATCCAGGCCCAAGTGGGTCTAAAACAAACCCTAATATCTCTGAGTACCTTAAGAGCTGAACCAACAACATGATAGCCCAATGGAGTAAATCTCATCTGGATATTATGTTTACCCAATTAGCTTGTATTCCCATGTAAGTCATTGTCTTAGACCCGTTTAGACTAAGAAAAATATAATGTAACATAAGTTTGTCTTCCTTCAAGTTTAGACTTCCAATTTTCAATCGTATTATTGTTCATATATTAAGAAAATTTTGAGGATAATTCTTCGAATGAGGTTCCCTTTCATAAAATTTTATAACTTCGTAATAGCCTACACCGTTGACAATATTTAACAACCCGATACACATGTACCCAAGGAAAAAAAAAATTGTGTCTAAATGGTGTACTTACACGAAAATATGGAATTTTATGCATGCAGGTTTTCAATTAATGCCTAGCAATTTTGGCAAACCAAAGTGTAAGTAATGGCTCCGGCAAAAAAGACACATCATGTGCAATTCAATTGTACGTAGCTTACTTAGATCAAAGAATAGTCAACAATTAATGACTGAATTGGGAGAACTGCACTTTATCATTCAAGTCCTACTCGCATGAATGAAATTTTATTCGTACTAAAACCATAATAAGGGCTCGCAATATGCGCTGGCCCGTCCCGGCCCGTCACTGGCCTGTCGAAAATAGGTTGGCCCGTCCTGGTCCGTTTTGACAAAATGGATTGAATTAAGTAACCCGACCCGTTTTATGAGTGGGCTGGCGGGCTACGGGCCAACCCGTCTAAAATAAAAAATTCATAAAAATAAAATATAAAATAAAAAATTCTGCATAAAAAATTCATAAAAATATAAAAAAATTCATTAAAAAAATCTGCATAAAATCCTAATGTGTTTATAAAAGTCCAACAAAAATTCTAAGAGTATATATGAGAAACCATAAGGAACAAAATAAAAATCAAACTCAAATACATTACTCTATTTGAATAATAAAAATTAGTTATATTCAGCGGTGACCATCCTTGCAAATATAACTAATATATATACGCCAACTTTCTTTGGGTAAACAAGAATCAGGTGCCCCTATAGCCACTGATTGTAAATCGTGCATATATGCACGGACTGTAAACAATGCGAACGATGAATGCAAACTAGAAATTTCAAGAAACACAAAATAGAAAATAACTTGTTTATTTATCCGGTCCTTAACAAGGAACTCAACTTGAGAAACCATGTATTAAAAGGACAAGCAGTACATTACACATTTATTCATTGATATTTAGGTATAAGTGGAGCTTTATGCCTGTTGGAACTGAACTTTAAATGGAGCATAACTCAGAGCAAGACGCTTGCCATACTGATCTTGATATATTCCAATATCATTGCATTGATAACTGCAATCTATGCACACACTTGGACAATAAACAAGCTTATAATTATCCTCATACTTCTCAATCTTGAACCAATTGCTAATGGTTTGCCAACCCGGGTTGCCCAAAACACCACCAGTGGTTACAAACCACTGTCCAGTTGAATAATCATAGTCATCAAGCTTCCACACTGTGGACTGAGGACAACTTGTTTCGGTAGAGAAATATATGTTAAGATCAGTGGAAACACGAACGACACCTTTCTTAGGGTTAATAGGTGAAAAAGTCAAAGGAAGGCCTTGGTAACCATCCACAGCAACAACATCAAGTGGACAATCTTTACCTGTGTTTGTGAGGGAAAAACCTCCAAAGTTAGGAGAAGCTGGAACAATGTAGTAATTTGCACCAACTCTTAGCTTCTTCCCTGATGTGTCTACCACTTGTTCAGGTGCAGCTGCACCAACTCTTAGCTTCTTCCCTGATGTGTCTACCACTTGTTCAGGTGCAGCTGCACCAACTCTTAGCTTCTTCCCTAATGTGTCTACCACATGTTTAGGTGCAGGACCAGCTGCACCAAGTAGTGGCTTTGTGCTCAAGGCAACAAGAAGGAACAATGCGAGCAATGTGATCTTCATTGGTTTGTATGGATATGATGTATTAAATTTGTGTTATGGTGACTTATGATAGCTTAAGAGCTTGAAAATTTATAGGCAGGGATGGTTCTAATCTATGTACTCATTTGGACTTAAAGTCATGGATTTCAACTCATACAATTGGCCATTAAAGACTCAATTTGTCAATAAGATATGTAAAGTTCACATACTTGGATTGGGACTTCCATGATTTGTTTTCCATGTTTTTGAGTGAGCTTTCTTTTCATTCATAATCACTTAGTACCTAACACTTTTTTATGATGTGTACGTGTATGTTTGCTCTATTATGTGTACTATGAATTAAGTGAGAGAAAGCCCATAGAATAATGTTTTCTTTTTGTTTATTTAAGCTTTCTATTGCGATATTAACCAACATGTTATTTTTCTCTTTTTTGCTTTTTGATACGATGTTCTTCATTTGTCTTTATAATATTATATTATTTTCATTAGTATTATAATATTATATGGTTATAAATTCATTGTAAGATTGGAAGCTAACTATTCTCCGGGGGTTTAAGAATTAAAAGAAAGAGAGAGAGAAAAGAGAAGGTGGGACTGAAACTTTTTAAAGAAAAGTCTGCAGACCAAGAAGCAGACAAGGAGAAGAAATTTCAAAAGGAAGATCCTAAAGAAACAAAAGGGAAAATAACTTTTCTTTTCAAACATAAATTTTATGGTCATTTCTTTCACTTTTATCGTTCTATACTTCTATCTTCTTTTGAAACCGTGAGTTTGCTTTCATTTTGTCAAGGATTACGTACTTTAAAAAATAGAATTTCTTCACTTTTCTACATGCATGCACGAAGATTTGAGTTTAATAACAAAACTTTACTAATTTATGATTATTATGGGACTAATATTTTGAACTGTACATATATATATAATGTGATTTGAAACCGGGCCTGTTTCTGCTTCTTCTTTTTTTAATTATTTTATAGAATATTTAGTAAAATGAGTGTTATTTGTATTTTAACTTTTGTTTTGAAAGTTAAAAATCGAAATACTAAACAAAAGTAACTGAAATATGTTCTCTAAATTTGATCTAAAAATAAAAAATTAGTTATATTATTTTGAACTATTTTTACAAAATAGATATTATCAAACAATTTTTTTTGCTTTCTTATTTTAAAAATTAAAAACTTTCTACCAAAAATAAGATATTAAAAATTGTTTTTGAAAACAGTATTCAAACTGGCCTATATATCTACGCATCAAAGGACCTTAAAACTAAACCTATGCTATATATAATTTAGAAAATGATGAAATATTCCTACTTTAATTTCTCTTTGAATGAATTAGCCAAGCTTATTCAAAATGAACAATCTTCAAATATTGTTTCAATTAGAACCGATCACGGTGGAGAATTTAAAAATCAAGAATTTGAAATGTTTTGTGAAGAAAACGGTATTGAACATAATTTTTCCGCTCCTAGGACTCCACAACAAAATGGAGTTGTAGAAAGGAAAAATCGTGTATTGGAAGAACTTGCTAGAACGATGTTAAATGAAAATAATCTTCCAAAATATTTTTGGGCGGAAGCCGTTGGCACCGCGTGTTATGTTATGAACCGTGCTTTAATTAGACCTATTTTGAAGAAAACTCCCTATGAACTTTACAGAGGAAGAAAACCCAATATTTTATATTTTCATGTCTTTGGTTGCAAATGTTTTGATTTAAATAATGAAAAAGAAAACCTTGGCAAATTTGACTCTAAATCCGATGAAGGCATATTTCTAGGATATTCACTTACAAGTAGAGCTTATAGAATCTATAACAAAAGAACAATGGTCATTGAAGAGTCTATTCATGTTGTATTTAATGAGATTAACAATGCCTTGCCTAGAAAGGAACTTTGTGATGATGATGATGTTAAAGAAAGCATGGAAAACATAAACTTGAATGACAAAGAGGAAGATGAAAGGCAAAAAGAAAAGGAAGCAAACAATGAAGAAACACCAAGTCAACAAACCAATGATGGAAACAATCTACCACAAGATTGGAGAGTAGCTAGAGGACACCCCATTGATGCGGTAATTGTGATATATCCAAAGGGGTAACTACTAGAAACTCAATTAGAAATATTTGTAATCACTTAGCATTTGTTTCTCAAATTAAACCTAAGACCATAAATGAAGCAATTATTGATGAACATTAGTTCTTGGCAATGCAAGAAGAACTAAATCAATTTGAAAGAAATCAAGTTTGGGAACTTGTGCCAAAACCAAATGATTATCCAATAATTGGAACCAAATAGGTCTTTAGGAACAAGCTTGATGAAAATGGCGTAATAACTAGAAACAAAGCTAGACTTGTTGCTAAAGGATATAATCAAGAGGAAGGTATTGATTATGATGAAACTTATGCTCCCGTTGCTAGATTAGAAGTTATTAGATTACTACTTGCATTTGCATGTATAATAGATTTTAAACTCTTTCAAATGGATGTTAAAATTATGGTTTAAAGCAAGCTCCAAGAGCATGATATGAAAGATTAAGCAAATTTCTTTTAGAAAAAGGTTTTTCAAGAGGAAAAGTGGACACAACTCTTTTTATAAAGAAGAAAGATGATCATCTATTATTTGCACAAATTTATGTTGATGATATTATCTTTGGTGCCAATAACGTTAATCTTTGTGAAGAGTTTGCTAATCTCATGCAAAGAGAATTTGAAATGTCTATGATGGGTGAGCTAAACTTCTTTCTTGGTCTCCAAATAAAGCAACACAAGGATGAGATATTCATCAATCAAGCTAAATATTGCAAGGAGTTACTCAAAAAATTTGGAATGGACAACTCCAAGGCCATTGATACTCCCATGGGTACATCTTGTTCTTTAGACAAAGATGAAGGAGGTAAATCCATAGAAATTACTAAATATCGAGGTATGATCGACTCACTTCTATATTTAACCGCAAGTAGGCCCGATATTATGTTTTGTGTGTGCATGTGTGCTAGATTTCAAACTAATCCTAAGGAATCACACTTAAGTGCCGTAAAACGAATTGTGAGATATCGTGTAGGCACTTCACACATAGGATTATGGTACCCTAAAGGTGCATCATGTGAACTAATAGGTTATTCCGATTCCGATTTTGCGGGTTGCAAATTGGATAGGAAAAGCACTAGTGGCACTTGCCACTTTCTTGGTTGCTCACTAGTCTCTTGGCATAGCAAGAAACAAAATAGTGTACCATTGTCCATGGCCGAAGCGGAATATGTGGCGGCCGGTAGTTGTTGTGCACAAATCATATGGGTGAAACAACAACTAAAGGACTTTGGGGTTGATCTTGATCACATCCACATTAGGTGTGATAACACTAGTGCCATCAATATCACCAAAAATCCCAGAATGCACTCAAGACCCAAACATATTGATATTAGGCATCATTTTATTCGAGATCATGTGCAAAACGGTGATTGTATTTTAGAATTTGTAGAATATTCAAAACAATTGACCGATATTTTTACCAAGCCTCTCCCAAAAGAAATGTTTTACAATTTAAGAAGAGAAATTGGTTTGATTGATCCATCATATTTGTGAACTTGTATGGATAATTCCTTGGCTTCGATATCTTCCTTGAACTTGAATTGCTTTAACTTTTTCCACTCTCCTAAATAGTTATTTTATGTACCTCTTAAATCCTTGCTATGTTTTGTATGCCATATGTCTGGTTATGATGGAATAAGAGTATCCTATCTGATTTATGCATCCCTTTTTTATTAATGATATGCAGTATATTTTCATTGAAATTTGAACGCACTATTTTATTGGATGCATGATTATTCACTATATTCTCTTATCGGATTATTTATTTCTTTTTGATGTTGCCAAAGGGGGAGAAAAGGTTACCAAATTGAGAAATATTCAATTACTCAAATTGAAGGGTAAACAGGGGGAGATACTGAAACTTAATCATCAAAATGACCTATACCATGAACTCAGGGGGAGTATCGTATTTAAAATGATTGAATTTATGCAAACTAACCCTCTTTCTCAATTTAAAGTTTGTCATCATCAAAAAGGGGGAGATTGAATAATCAAAGTGATGATATAGCTGCCACGTACTCAAAGATGATACAGTTGATGATTCCACGTCAGCATAGTTTTGATGATAACAAACAAGTCAAAGAAGAATGCTCAAAGACAAAGCAAAATCCAAAAGAAATCGAACATCAAGCATATGTGAAAGCATGCAAGTCAAGTATCCAGACAAGTCCAAGATCTTTATGATATATCTACTTAGGACTTAGGAAAATATGTAAAGGTGTATAGATCCTAGCATTGCATGAGCTCAAGTCATTCATATCGTATAATACTTAAAGAACCTTGATCTAACTAGCTAAACACGCATTAAAAGGTTTTTAAGTAACTTAAGCACACAAGCAACATGCCAAAAATATTTTGTGGCTTTCAAGTTTTGAAAAGAAAGCATCCTTAAAGAATTGGCAAGTCAAATGGTTTTATAAAGTCCTATATTGGTTTGGAAAAGGTACATTCATGATACAAACATTTCTAAACAATTTCCATAACCAATTACATGCATTACAAATCATAGAAACCATTTTGAAAGAAAAGAAAAGAAGATTTCGCACAAAAAGGATGCTGCCATGAAATATCCGGATATTTTGGTAAGAATATCCGGATATCAATATCCGGATATATGAACAAGAATATCCGGATATCACATATCCGGATATGGGCCCGATGAATATCCGGATATCTGCAGTCTGCAACGACTATAAACAGCTAGAAACGGCTAGTTTTCATATGAGGGGTCATTATAAATACCCACATCAATGGTAATGAATAGTGGACGACCATAGATCATTTATTGAACCTTTATTACTCATTCTTGCTCATTATTGCTTACTAATTGCTTACTTTACTCATTGCATATACTTGAGCTCATCTTTCCTTTGAAGCTATACATCTCTTAGTTCTTCAATATGTGAAATATGTACTTTGAGAGTACTTAGACACTT